GAAAAGGACACGGGACGAGTATGATCTTACAAAACGGATTCTTTGTTGCACTGGTCAATGTGTTACAAAGTGTCCACGAGGACGTATGAACCAGTTTCAATTTTATTAGAGACAATGTGGATTGTTTGTTGAGGCCCACACTATCGAACCCTCGCTGGCTGAAAAAACATTGGGCAGCCATGAAACGCCTCAAGGCTCCTGGACATGACAGAAATCTATAAATTATTCTGCTATTTTCTGCAACTGATTCCCAAGTTTTCTTCAATATTTCGAAACTTCATGATTGAGGTGAACCCAAATGAGCTTCAAGTCTGCAAAGAAGCTCGCAATTATTTCACTTGTCAGCGCCCACTTCATGTTGCTTGATTGATTTACAGCATCTTACAATATTCTCAATGAATTGAAGGAATCCAAAACTGGGGCCAGAATCCTTTTAGATTATGTGAGGCTTTGGACATCTATACCACTGCCATGCACTGCGGCACTTTGAATGTCTCGCAGAACATCGACAGGATGACCCATGGTGACAGGGAGAGGGTTCAATGTATAACCCCAAAGGCGATCTTATGGCATCCTCCAAGCAAACGGCCATTGTCAGGCAGGATCAACACCACATGCCCAAATAGAACAAATATTTCATTTGATACCTGGCTAGGCATGGAGAAATTTATGTTCATGGGCTTCCCAATCCATCGACTCTCTCTGGACCACCTGACCGAAGAGGACGTCACAACAATACAGCAGTCAATGTCCAGTGAGCTTAATTCGGATTTAGAATCCACCCGCCTTTGATTCCAGGAGCTGCATTCACTGGCAGGAAATGCCCTAACCTTACATGTTGTTTTGACAGTGGCACTAAATGCATTCCGCAAGCTTTCTCCACCCATCTTCGCCCATCCAATTTGCACCTTCCCAGGCCATGAGTGTGCGATCCTGCGCAGCAGCGTGGACGTTAGCTTTTAGTGGTGTGAGCATCGAAAATTTCTATCGAGAAGCCATGAAGAAATCAATGGCATAAGTCTGTTTGGGACCACCATATGTGAATTATGCGGTGCAAAAATCAAGTTTGCATGGGTCGAATTTGCTGAGACTTGCGTTTTAGTGCCTACTTACCAGTGACATGTCAACGCAATGTCAAGGAGCATGCGGGTCCCGAATGAGTGTTTGGCAGTTTTCATACAGTTTATCAAGCTTCTCAAGCCAGGAGATGTGTCGACACCATCACATGTGCTGAAAGTTGTTTGGATCTTTCATAAAGCTTCAACACCACAAAGAAATTCACTAAGAGTCAAAGTCATCCGACTTCAGGAACCTCAGGCTCTAAGGACCACTGAGGCACATCACAGCCTTTTCCTCAGCAATGCTCTTAGATACTGACTACTAGTAGTTATATTATATAAGCCAATTTTTCCGATCCTCGACAATTGCCATGCCCATGCTTCAATGCTTTGCAGTGTCCGAGTCATCAGATGCTGACAGTAGTTCAGATAGTTCAGCTTCGCCTACACCTGTGAACAAGAGAAGGTGTGTGAGGCCAGAGAGCTCCTCATCATCTTCCAGCAGAGATGAACAAAGTGAACCGGCTGGCACCAAGCCTGCAGCAGGTCTCATGCTCAACCAGCTGGTGGCTATGAATGAAGGGAAAACAGATGTTGATCAGTCTGTTTACGCAAAACAGGCAGTCCAACCGGAGCGAATCCAACAAGTGCTGCAAGAGACATGTTGCAAAAAAAAATGCAAGAGAAACTTACATTGGAGACTGGTTCTGAAGATGGTCACTTTTTTCTGGGTACTTCCTAAAGTTAGCCAAGATTGCCTTTTATGGTCTATGCAGCAAAACTGTCTCCCGTGTGACGAGCAAGATGATGAGTCGGAGTCTGGTTCAGACAGCAGTTGCCAACCACGTCATAAAGTTGCATGGTCCATAGAAGGCCGGGAATGAATCGTACCGATTGAAGTCATATTCAGACAGTTCATGTTCAAGTCTCTTTATTTCAACAACACCAAAGGCTGAGTTCCGCACTGCCAGGAATTCCTGTGTGCCGCCAAAGTTTTCTGAGACTCTTGGGTATCAGTGCCTCGCGGCTGGTGAGGACCAGGAAAGCGTTCAAAGGCCTTGACTTCCGGTGCTTGGGTTCCTCATCTGCCATCCTAGGATCTTTTCTTCTGATCCACAGTAATTAGCTATTGGATGCCCTTCGTTGAACTTGTACTCTTTGTATTTGCTCATCCTCACTATTATTCCTACCCATCAGGTGGGTAGGAATAGTTATTGTGTTAATTAATTTACTATGATTAATTTAATGTGTTATTATGCCTATCCATTCTCTTTCCAGTACGTGAGGTTCCAAAGGCCAAAAGTCTTGCGAAGCTGCTGCATCTGTAACTGCTTTCCTTGAAAATACGTACTGGACAATTGGAGAGACCCTGCCCCATGAGTTCCTCGTTTAAACATAATATTGGAAGCAGGGTTGGGAAGTTTAGGCAGAAATTCAATTTCTAATTCTGATTCCCTCCAATAAGATTAGATCCCATGCCTCCTTGAGGCTTGACGTGAAAGGGACCAGTGATCTTTCTACAGCAGACGCAAGGGAGAGACTCCTGAAGGCCTTGGTGGAAAGTGCGCTGGAAAGCGACCTGGCGAGGTGCGGTGTCCGGAGAGGGTGTGAGGACCTTCCTAGAAGATGGCTTCCACATGGAAGTTATCATGACCTATACACCTTGTACTGCGCCCATCAAGCAGCATCAAATGAAAAAGTTGCTTCGTCAACCACATTCTACCGAGTACTTTGTGAATCTGGCTGGAAGAAAAAATCAAGTTTTCACCACCAAGCGCACATTCCAAGTGTACAATTTGCTTTGCTTTGAAATCAAAAATACGGCATGCAAAAGGCATTGCAGAGCAAACGGATGCTTCTGACAAGCTGCTTAGACATCTTGCTGGGCAATATGCTGATCGTGCTGTTTACCACGAGCTCAGAAACAGGGCAAAAACAACCGGTGATATCATTTGCTGTATCACAGATTCAATGGACAAATCGAAATTCTCTTTACCCCGCTATCAGAGGGGCCAAGCGCCAAAGGATGTGGCAACAGTTGACAGACCATCGCTGGAGGTGACAACAACGTTGGTGCATGGTGTGGGAGTTTTCACATACTTGGGGGATGAAAACCAAACCGCTGGCACCAATTGGGTCTTGGAAACTTTGACCAGATCTCTACAACATACCTGGAATTTTTTTCAGAAACAATCGAAGCCGCAACCTGGGGTTTTGAAGATGTTCTCAGACAATACACCCAAAGAACCTTTGCTTGCCATGGTCACTATTGTTTTTGTGCCTTTATTGTTTACTGTCTGGAGTTGTTAGACGATTCTGGCCATATTTCATACCTGTTCCTGATTCCCATGGACTAAGGAAGTAAAAAACAGCCTATTTGGGAGCTGGTGTTCGGCAGTAGTCTGCAGTGGCTACTACCGGTCAGTGTCTCATGAAAACATGCCGGTTGGCCACACGCATGAAGACGTGGGTTTCTTGGTCATGTTTACTGCAAGGTCTTGAAAACGACATGACAATAAACCTCCAAGACTTGAGAATATTGTTTGATTTGTTATGGTTTAGACGTGGCCAACACCATTGGACAAACTTGTTTGCGTGTACTGAGACGCCTACTTCGGACTATTATCTCGATTTATCCGCGAAGGAGATGAAAATATGTTTGGGCCTTACTTTCCCCTATACTTGCAACCCGTTCCTCTAAAGTATGGCACCGCCTTAGGCAGAGCCCTGAAGATGTTGCACAGCCGGATCCCCAATCAGGCAGAATCAGGAACACAAATCATTGAATGTTGCTGCGCTGATAGATCAGGAAGAGTGCCAACCCATAATATCAAGTCAGTCTTGGCAGAAGTGTTGCCTAAGGCTTCTTCGGTCAAAGGTTGGGCCGTTGTTCACCAAGAAGGGCTTGCTGTTCCAAGTTGAATACGTGACCAATGTGCGGGATTGGTTTGGGAGCTTACCCAGAATTTCAACTTTGCATGGTGCGTACCGACGCCGAACCATCAAGGACCTAGATGTTGTGCCCCACTCTTTCACTTTCATGTGCCGTCAAAGCACCTTGTCATTTGAAAGTTGTGAGCCTAGCAAGGTAAAATGTGGTAAAATAACAACCGTAGGCTGACTGCATTTTTGTCTCTCTATCTCTCCATATACTCACTCTCTCTCTCTCTCCTCTCATCATTCACTTTGGATCTCTATTTAAGCTGTTCCTAAGGTATGCCAACGTCGCTACTTGAAGGTGCAGAGGAGAGGTTGCCGTCTTGGTTCGAAAAGGGCAATCCTCACGACGTGTTTGTCCTTGTGAAGGGGTTTGTAAGTGATAGCTCACTTTGTCAACCTGCCTTGCTTTGCTTGCCTGGGTGCAGAGTTGACACTTTCCGGGTTGCACTGTGCCGTCTGGCCAAGTCTGATGCTCCCTGCACCTTGTTTGGGAACGGTTGGTGTGCTGTGTCTGGGGATGTTTGGAGTGTTTGGGGTTCTGTTTGGGGCGTGTGGGTTCTTGATATCTCTGTTGGTACTGAGATACTGAGGTACTGAAATTTCTTGCACTGCGGAAAGGGCTGAGATATTGGTTGAGTTGGCAGCCTACCTGACGGACAACTTGCCACAGTATGCACGAGGGGCCCACTACTTGCTTCAGCTGGCAGGTAAAGTCGCTGTCAAACGCACTTGGCCAACTAAGTTGACTTGGATTCTGTCCGGACCCGTGCCTGGTATCCAGCGCGGAAATCCTTTGCTCCAAGATCCTGAGCCACACAATGTGCGCAGGCTTCAGGTGAAGTTTCACAGGTATTACTAAATGAGTTGGAGAAAAGAGTAGCTGATACTAAATCTGTAGAGCTGTCAACCGTTCAATAAAATCATTCTGGTATCATAGACTGGCTGTGCATTTCTGAAACAGCCCATTTCAATCTCACAGCGCTGTGGTTGCAGAGCCTCAAAATGGCTGATCCCACCGTGAAGGCTGGATCTTGGAATTTGGATATCAACTGTGATGCTGATTTCTGAACTCCTATTCCAAATCATTAAAAGCAATAAGTGAATTTTCACTTTGAAATTCAAACTTGCCAGGTGGAATTTGATGGCAACGACAGCGATGCCAGTGGTGATGAGGGCCCTACGCTGCCACCACTGAAGGCCCGGCTGATCCTGGCCATGGAGGAGGCTGGGTCTGGTTGGACTAGCTGAAAGCTCAACCAAAAAATCCAGAAAGTAATTAATTTAATGTAGTATCCTTAAACATTCTCTGTCTACCTATCAGTATTGCCAGGTGACCGGTGAATGGAATATGGGGAGATTCATCCACGACAAGTTCAACAAAGATGAGGACTCAAGACGCCAATTTGCCAAGGCTGGAACATGCCAAGCAAATTCCAAGCCAATGTTTAAAATTTAAAGATATTTAAAGATTCCAACGTAGTAGAATTACATCCGTCTTTGATCACTGTTCAAACTTGATGCCTGCATCCTGTGGAAGGTCATGTTGGACATCTACAGTTTGCCGGAGGTGGCAGACCATGTTGCAAAGAACTTCAATGGTTCCCCTCCCCTAGTGCTGCAGTCGGTGCCAGTCACGGCCCGAAAAGGTGTCTACATCCACCCGTGGCAATTGTCAATGGGTGAGGATGCGAAATATGGCCAAGGGGGGAAGTGGCCCAGTAACGTGGCAATCCGTTGTCACTTTCCATCTGTAGTCCAACGTGGCTACGAGACGGAGAGGGAGCCGTTGGAAATCAAGTTTGGAGAGGATCTCTTTGGCTCTGGCAAGGACATTCCTGTGTTCTCCATCCAATATATCGACGGTCACGCCAAGGCTGTGATGATTTTGTCAGTTTTTGCCCTCCTTGCCCACTTGGAATCCTGCTGAAAGTTGGGTTGACTTGTAATCTTTGTGCTTTGCAGCTGCTGGTGCGTTTTAGGTTCCTGCAAAATCACAAGCTTTTTGACAAACAATGGACGCCTAAGGAGGTGCGGTTTGAGGACTTCGTTTCTGACCCTGAGATGCTTGACCTCCTTGCCAGCTTAAAGTACATCAGGGTGAACTACAACCACATGTCTGCTGAGAAAGCTTTGTATGAGGCATTGAGTTCATGCCTTAGTTCCATCCTTTGGCAGAAGAATTGAACGATCACAATCAGTTCATATAAACATCAAGCAGGGAATAACGTCATCTTATTCAAATAATATTCAGCTAAGGCCTGGCAAACCGAACAGCTGAGAAACAGAAACCTGGACCCCTCGAGCTCACTCTCCTCTTCAAGGCATTTTGGTGGATGTTGCCACATGACCCAGATGTTGTCAATCATTCTTCATTAGAACTCTATGAATGAATTCCTTGCGATCAGTAAACACCTGAACCCTGTAGAGTTTTAACAATAAAACACAATAAGTGTCTAAACTTTGAATTGTTTTTTCGAACCCAACCCAAGAAGATGAACCTTTGCCGAAAGGACAGCCACTGAGTAAGTATTTGGGGCTCTCAAAATGAGGTGGCCCTGTTTGTTTCCAAAGAGATAGTATTAGGCCACCTCATTTATAGCATCATAAATAGCCTGTATATAATGTGGAACCAAAAAAGGCCACCTCATTTTGAGACATATTAGCCATATCGCGTTATGTTATCCACCTCATCATGTTTGAGACCTCATAAAAATCCTTCCCCCTGGGTTCACTCCTTGAGAGGAAGCCATTCGTTGCAAGCGCCTGAGCAAGCAGCGGGCTGCAGTTCGAGATCTTCTGTCGAATGCCATTGCCGACTACAACAAGGGGACCCCGAACAAGGTTGGAGACACAATTTCCTCTGTTCGGCCTTAACTTTTTAGTCTGTACCAGTCACTGTCCCCAGTACATATGATGTTTTGATATTGAACCTGACAATATTTGACCAGGCTTTTCGAGTCAAGGACGATCTGAAGAAGGTGATTTATGGAGTTCTAAGATGTCCTCCTCAACTCTTAGATCTTTTGAAAGAAGCTGCAGATCTTTACAAGTGGGAACATGGAGGTGGGGATATGAATTTTCAATGTCAACAAAACATAACCTGGAAGGTATCAGCTAGCTTTGAATTTGAAAAACACATGCATTGAATGACCCTGGCCCTACTGTCAGCTTGGACAATGGAGAGCCTGGCAGAAGACTACTATGTGCCTGGAACCCAACTTTGCTCCCCGGCTGTCTTGGATGATTGGTGGCGCCAGGTGAAGGCCTTGCTGTCAGCTGTCTTGATGTGATTCTAGATTCCTTTTCCAACTTTCGAAAACAAATTTAAATCCAATCCATGCAAAACTTGGCAGACTGTCAGCGCAGCTGCTACCATGATGTGGGCACGTCGAGTACTGAGTGACTTCATGAAGAAAGCTCCAGCGAAGTCCCCCGTGAAGCAGAAGGACCCGTGGGAATATGTGGGAACAAAACACGATACAGCGGTCAGATTCCCCAAAAAAATCCAACACTTGATGTTAGGACAGGCCTACAGACAGTGAGTATGATCGTCTATGAGTCTAGAAAGCCATTGGGTAAAGGGGTCCAACTTGCCATTCACTCCAACATGCCCTGAGAAACTGGCTCAGCGAGATGTGCAATCGATGCGTGACCTTATGGAGATTTGCTGCGTGTGGGTGGCCATTCAAGAGCCCATCAGGTTGCATGTGGGCGACGCTGCCTATCACCAGCTTGATGAAATGTTTGGCTCAGGGAACCTTTTCATTAAATTAGACTCAGCTGACTTGGTTTGGAAAGAGGTCTGCAGAATAAGTTATTCCTACACTATCATCATGGAAAAGGGGATTGACAATTAATTAATTCATGTACACAGTTCTGGTGACAAAAACATACAAAAACCATACAAAATTATTTCCCCCAAAAAAATATTTCATAATAATTTACCGGTACTGATTATTATTATATTTTTTGTCACCAAAACCGTGTACAAGTCTCCGTCCGCCGTCAAGATGATATGGCATCGGGTACAAGTCTCCGTCCGCCCTCACATACAAGCAAACCGGGTATGACTTCCCGTCCATCACTGAAGCCAAAACAGTGTATAAAATCATGTTGGGTAACAACTTAGATTTGTACATCGTTTTAATTTTTTCCATGTACAAAGCAATTATAAAAAAATATAGGCGTCATAGATGGGACTTAAAAATAACATGGAGATTATCTCTGGTGATCTCCAAAACTTGGGTTTTGTACATGGAAAAAATTAAAAGGCGACATAGATTGACCTAGAATCCCAAGCTCAAATTATACACTGTTTTCAACTGTGACCCTGTATCTCGTATTTTTTAAAAGGCGACGTCACGTCCCGTCCGCCACCAAACCGGACATCAAACTCCGTCCGCCTGCCCAACCGAGGACTTTGGACCCAGAACTCCGAGCCCACTCGAAGGCCTCAGAGCCAGGATGGGATTGGCAAAAGCTGTCCTTCGTGCTGGAGAAGAAAGGCGAGGTGCAGGATGAGGAGATTTGCAAGGCTCAGAAGCGCATCAATTCAGCCCTGCATAGCACCCTGCAAGCTGGCTATGCCCTTTTCGAAACGAATCTCCAAAATGATCAGTTGCAACATCGACGTTACTTGCAGACTTCAAGTGGGGATGAAGCAAAAGCACGTGCTGCTGTGATTTCCAGTTTGGAGGACTGTGTGAATGCCGAACCTTAAACTGCCTGCAAGAGCCTCTCTCAAATCTTGAAGTAAATCCTACCCAATCCTGAATGTCAAAAGCATCGATTGGAACCCTATTAAGAAAAAAAATAAACTAAGTTTCAGTTCTAAGTGTAGGGTTTCCGGGGGGGAAACCCTGCTAGAAAATGCACAACGTGGCATGGAAGCTTGTCAACTACTTGATGACAGAGTACTGCCCTACATGGTGCATCGCTGTGCAGAACAATAAGCTTTCGACGCAGGGTCGCTTGCAAATTTTGATCAACAACCATTTTTATGCAGCAATTGGTTCCCAATAATTCTTTAGCATCCTCATTCGAAATTCTACTAAGACCTTCATACTTGGGTATTACTCAGCAAAACCAATAACTTAAATCCATGCTTTTTTGTACAAAACCAGACGTAAGGTCCTGATGACCAGACCGACACGTCGGGCGTCATGGAGGCCAGGCTCCAGCCATGGCTGGCAGAATGCTTGGGTGGATTCAATGGTGGAGTGCGGCGTGCAGACAATGAATGCATCATCGGCATCTTCAATCTCACCACACAGGGTGTGCTTTCAGCCGACAAGTTGCACTTCGCACTCCAGCAGCTCACTACTCTCAGCCATGCTTACCCCAGGACATTTGTGGGCTTGGTGGTCATGCCAAACCGAGCTGGAGATTTGAAGACCAATGGTTGTAAGCCGTGACCTTGGTTTTTCTTCTCCAAGAATGACTACAAGTTTATGTGTTAAGATTGGCTGTTAACCTAAGACCAAGATTAAAGACAATCTGATTACCAGCCCAGGTCCGAGGTGAAGACTGAGGATTCTGACCAGGAGCAGGATGAAGATGCCACTGCAGGCCAAACCTCATGTGTCCATGCAAAAGCCGGTTTTCATAGAGGAGGTTTTAAACTGTTAAGAGTGTCAGTCAGTCAGGTAAGTTAAGAATCTCAATCCTAGTGCTCAGAGGGCTCAAACTTGTCATTGTGCCAGAAAGGTGGAAAAGACAACGAATGCACCGATGATGACGAGGATGATTCGAAAGATGCTGTGGCAGAGAGCATTCTCAGGGACTTTAACTACAAGCTTCGGTGCATGATGATGGAAAGGAACCGCAAGTTGACTGCAACTTGGACAAATGATAACTGTACCAAAATAAGTGAAAACATCTTACAATAAAGTCCACATGCTGTCAGCTCTTCATGGCCGTTGGAAATGGGATGTCCAACAGTTAGTCCAGATTTGGCGGAATATCTGAACCCCGGCAACCAGAAAACTGACACAATGGGATATCAAACAATACAAGTCTAAGAGGAGATGCAGGGGAATATCTTGAACCCTTGCAACCATCAAACCATCAAATAGAACAATTGGGAGTGACACCTCTTGTAACAGTCAAGGTAAAAACAGTCATGGCCTCCTTCGAGCCCAGCTCAGTCTATGGCAACAGAGTGGCATGGCAGGAGCTTGTCTTGGTCACCTCGCAGGATGGCAAAAACATCTTTCACCGTACCCCGTTGTGGCGTCAAGGATTGATCAGTGACATCTTGATGCTGCCCAGGGGAGAGATGGTAAAGCCACCGCGAGCAGAGGGTGCCAAATATGGTGGCGAAGGTCGCTTTACAAAAGTGCAAGAGATGAAGCAGGCTGTGTTGTTCTCTAAACATGGTCCCCCTAAACTCTAAACCATGTTCAATGTGTTTACCTTAGACTAATGAATAAACTGACATTTACAAAAAGGAGAAGCTTTGTCACCCCATTTCCTTAATTCCCAGCTTCCTCCCTGTTTGCAGTTCTGCGGTGGCACCTCCTTCATCTCCAAGATTGTGGAGTCCTTGCAGCCAAGCAGTGAAACGCCAACAGTGCTTTTGGACCTTTTTGGGTTTGACGGGTGGCCTGGAACCTATGCCATTGCCCAGTCAGCACGAGGCCTGGGGTGGGCAAACATGATTTTAGGTCTAATATCTAAACATCAAATTGCTTGATAGCAAGGGCTGGCACAAAAGAAATTGATTGCAAAAGCCCTTTAGACCTTAGAGGTTCACATTTAGAATCGGCATCTTAAAGCTTGGGGGCCTTAAAACCCAATCTTTGGGATTTGAACCCTACAGTATCTATGGGGCTGGGTCAAATAGTAAGATTCAGGGGACAACAGACTTTCTATTAACCATCTATTTCTAGGGATGACCCTGAGGGAAAAAGGTGGCATGTGCTACTGTGTGCCATTCCAAAGCGGAAGCTGGCTTCGTGAGTGGAACTTTGAGCTCCAAGCTGTTTGGGATGGCTCGCAATGCTGAGTACAAGATTGCTGGGTTTCCTGATTTCTCTGGCGCCCTGACAGACCTGAAGCAGTTCCAGCGCTCTCCTCAACCGACCTATGAGGTGACAGTTCCATGTGGAAATGGCGTTTTGGTGGTCAAGGAGTCCCTGATCCAGTTTTGGACTGTCAAGCACCCTGACTTTTCTGACGCCATGACAGCTCTTTTGGAGCAGCACAACAAGGAGTTCAACCCTGATTGCATCAAGCGTGGTGCTGAAAGTGAAGAAGTTCCTGAAGGGGAGGAAGATAGCCCTCCAACCAAACGGTTGCGCCTATCTGCAGCATCAACACTGGCAGATCTGGAGAACAAATGTCCCGCCAGGACCCGGGTTCAAAAGACAACATAGAACCCCAAGACAGCCACTAAAATAAAATTAAATCTAAAGACATTTTTTTACTTTTCCAGCCCAGCAGGATCACTTTGAATGCTGGAAGTTTTTCGCTCCACCTCGCTGAAGCTGAAGGGCAGTTGTGGATTGGTTGTTCGGTGGCGCCCTACACTGTCCCCATGAACACAGAGCTGTTTGGATTTGGCAGTGGTGATTTCGCCAAAGGATCTGAAGCGCAAGATCTGATGACGGCTGATGGCCGGTGGCTTCGCTACTTCATGGACACGCCAGAGTCGCTGGTCATCTTGGAGAAACAGCGCAAGACCCCAGATCATTTGGAAAACGCAGCCTTTTTCAACAAGGATCATGGTTCACAATCTTGTGTTTGGGAGCTTTAAGAGCATTGTAAAATCCCATCCCACCAAAATGCTCATTGCTATTTATAATAAGTCTATGTCCCCCTAAAACTAAAATTGGTTGACGATCCACTATCTTTTCTGTCTGTAATGGGGATGTTGTTTTTTGTTGTTGCTGGCATTAAAAATGTTTTGTTTTTCAAACCTTGGGGCCCAGCAAGAAGCCATAGATTAAGTTGACGCATCGCGCCCGTGTAGGTGATGACCCTCAACAACTTGCTCAAGTCTTTGGAGGATGCTGCCGAGGTTGGTGTGCAACTGGCTGAACACCAGCTCAGCAAAGATGATGCTGGGAACTTTAAGGTCAAACCCATTGACAACGTGTGCTTCGCTCTGGATGCAGTGAGGCCCAGAAAGAAGCGCTCCAAGGTGCTTGGGTTAAAAACCATGATGTGTTCTGGGTTTATGCTATAGATGGAGCATTTATTATGTTAAAGATTATTAAAGAATGCGTTATTTTGGATTTAGATACAATATACAAAATCATCTGGAGCATTTGGCCCTGATCTGACTTTTAACGATACCTTGCCTTGACCTACCTTGTCTTGACCTGACAGGCAGCCAATGCTCTGACATTCGGTGCGAAGATGGACTTGGCAAAGGTCCGGATTTCACACAACGTGACTATCATTTGGAGGATGAGGCCAGCGTGAACCTGATTGTTTAAGTTACCAACTAGTACAACAACATCTTACCACCGACATCTTATCACTTAGTATTAGGATGAAAAGAACTCTTATTACATTCAGGTCCATCATACCATTTATTTTCATTAAATCCAACCATGAGCCCAACAACACGCTCCCACTGATGTCCTGCAGGTTGAATCTGCTAGTATTAGGGTGAAAAGAACTTATTGCATTCAGGTCCATCATACCATTTTTTTTCATTAAATCCAACGGTACAGGATTTGACCAATATCCATTCCTACAACCATGAGTCCAACAATATGCTCCCACTGATGTCCTGAAGTTTGAATCTGCTAGTCTTAGGATGAAAAGAATTCTTATTGCATTCAGGTCCATCATACCATTTATTTTCAAAAAATCCAATGGTACAGGATTTGACCCAAATCCATTCCTACAACCATGGGCCCAACAATACGCTCCCACTGATGTCCTGCAGGTTGAACATGGATTCTTCCAACTCATCGGTGAACATGACGTTGGTACCTGTGCGGCCGTGCGCTGCAACATCAGGAGCCGTGAGCTTGAAGCCTGATGAGGTCTTCCAATTTATTTAGTTGAATGCTGGCTCGGGTTGGATCGGCTGGCTGATCTCTACTGGATTGAATTTATTTCCTCATCACTCCTTACTAGTCCTCTTCCATCCTCTTCACTCCAAGCTGTGCAAGTTGTTTCTTGAGGGATGCATCCCGGATGCCGCCTGATGCCAGTAGATCAGCAAAGCATTTTGAGAACACGAAAGAACATGTTTAAGGGGAGATGCCCTACTGCAGCGGGGAAACACCTGCCAAAGACTTTTCAGGGAGTCAGAGGCCATACTTGCCACTTTAAAATAAAAAGAATTCCACCTTCCCATGTCCAGCCTTCTGGTCAACTGAAGTCAGTTGTTTTTGACGCTGGCCTTTGCAGAATATGGGGTGAGAGGTCTATCAGGTGAAGGCCGCTGAAACCAGGGTGAACGCTGGCGACTGAGAAGAAAAAAAAACTGACTTGTCCGAATCCCCTCGGCCCTATGCATGCTACAGACTCTCTCCCTTTCCTCTATCCATGCTATAAAAACGATACTGTAATTATTCCTTATTGTGTGAACCATGTAATGTAAATCAAGTTCAGACACAAGATATTATCTTGTGTCTGAACTTGATTAATTATTATTATGATAAGAAGTAGTAACTTTTAACCTTATATAATTCATTGAGTGCAAATGGTATGTGAATAAAATCTCCTCAGAAAGAAATTCTCAACATCTCTCAGCCGTCGCTGTTTGGAAAAGCCTGTGGATTCTCTGAACAGTCTCCTCTTTGATCCTGTTTGAAGGTTCAAGTCTAAGCCCTGTGCTGGGGATCCGCGCACCAGCCAGGGCCAGGGCCATGAGGCCTGTTGTGGGCAGGTCAGGAAATCCCGCCCTTCTTTTTCCATGGCCGACTACCAGATGATTCTCGAAAACCAAGGAGTTCCCAAAGCCGCTCCAGCACCACGTCCCTCTCCCGTGGCTACCTCATCTACATCTACAGCTAGGGCAGGAGGACTGAGACTGATGACATAGTTTTCAAACCATTGCATTCTGACTGAGATCTCCCATGGCTTTGTAATGATATTTATGAGATTCCTGAACACTCGAAGATTGGAAACCAATCAATCTTTTAAGGCATATATTGTTACAGTCTGTTTGGAGCAGGAGCTACACTGCAACGCTGTGACATGGAGACTTCTGGTTCGTCTTCGGTTGAGAAGTCAGAGGAGAAGGCCAATGATTCTGAAGAGAAGCCTAAAGATGGAGAACCTGAAGCACCTGACATGCCCATGAAACGCCCTGCTGCCAAAGCGACTGCTAAGCCAAAGAAGAAAAAAGAAGATGATTCCGAAGTGACCCGCCTTGGAAAGTGCAAGGGCAATACCGATGACGACGACGACGCTGATGCTGGACCTGCAGAAACATCCAAGCGCTCAAAGAGGAGGAAGAAGGACAAGGATGACGAGACAAAGACCCGAGGCAAGAGCAAGAAAGACAAGGATAGGAAAGGAAGTAGAGGTAGAAGAGAGAAGCGGTCTGGGAAAAAGCATGCTGATGGCTCATCTACTACCTCTAGCGGTGAGTCTGACCCCGGTGAAACTGATACCAAAGGACAGGTTAGAGTTACTGAGGACATGCTGGCACAAGCCATGAAGCGTGCAAAGGATGCGCAAGATAGAGCCGAGGGACGCAAGGTGGGTTTTTGTCGGTTGAACATTCCTACCATTTAAGGTTGCCATGCTGCTTGATCTTCTTCCTATACTGCTTCCCACTTGGATCCACTCTTCAACTCCTACCTTCTTCTACCCAAGATCAAACGTGGTTTCATATTATCTGAGCAGCTGTAATTCAGCATGTTGCATAACGTGAGCATAAGCACTGCCCCACATAATAATAATTTCATATTATTTGAATTTTTGCTCCTGCAGGTGCCAATGGAGAACCTTGAGGAAGGCGTTGGTGTGGTCACTTCCAACGTTTCCAACAAGGACTGTTTCGCTGCAAGTGTTGTGGGTGTTGTCATGTTTCTCTCTCTCTCTCTGTGCAAGATCCCATATTGTTGTCATTGTGTGTTTCTTTCCGCTAAGATCCCATACTGTTGTCGTTTTGTTCAAGCAACATGGCGGCACACATGGCGGCACCAATGGGTGAGTGGCGCTGGCTGTTGGTATTCGTGCCTTACATACAGCCTGAGGCCAATGTGGAAGCCGCAGGCGCCATACAGGGACCAGGGACCTGAATTGATGTGTGAAATTATCCCCATATACATCTTTAAGTTCAATGTATGTATTTCCATAGGCACTTGCATACCCTGAGGGTTGGTTCACCTTGCATACATTAGCATTAAATTACCATCCACACCTTCATCTGCAGGTGAAACGGGAGCTACGCCCATGGCAACTACGCCAACGGCAACTACGCCCATGGCAACTACGCCCATGACAATGCCCAAGGCAACTATGCCCATGGCAGCTAAGCCCATGGAAGCTACGCCCATGGCAGCTACGCCCATGACAATGCCCACGGCAGCTACGCCCATGGCAGCTACGCCCATGGCAACTACGCCCATGGCAACTACGCCCACCATGCCCATGGCAGCTACGCCCATGGCAGCTACGCCCATGCCAATGCCCACGGCAGCTACGCCCATGGCAGCTACGCCCATGGCAACTACGCCCATGGCAACTGAGCCTATGGCAGCTACGCCCATGCCAATGCCCACGGCAGCTACGCCCATGGCAGCTATGCCCAAGGCAACTACGCCCATGGCAACTGAGCCTATGGCAGCTATGCCCATGACAATGCCCATGGCAACTGCGTTTGTGGCAACTACGCCAAAAGGTGGCCCACCGCAACCTCCTGTGGCTGCACCATATGGACCTCCACCTGGACAACCTGTGATGCCTGTCCCACCTGGACGTGTCGAGCCACCTGAACGTGTCGAGCGACCTGGACGTGTCGAGCCACCTGGAGGACATGTCGAGCCACCTGGACCTGTCAAGCCCCATGTTGTCCCTGCACTTTTCCGTGGGCCTGCTGTGCATGCACCGCCTGCTCAGTATGAGATGACTGGTGAGTACATCGACGTCCTCTGCGAGCCCGATGCCGAGACAACAACATCCTCATGGCGAGGATTAGCAGATGCAGAGGCAACAAAAAGACGAAAGCTGGTCGAGAAGGCCGCCATCAAGCCGAAAGCAATGCCCAAACAAGAGCGTGACTACAATTCAGAGCCTGAGTACAAACCAGAGCCTGAGTACAAACCAGAGCCTGAGTACAGTGACTACTACAATGGCAACGAACCAGAGCCTGAGTACAAACCAGAGCCTGAGTACAGTGACTACTACAATGGCAACGAGGGCTACAACAAGCGGTGGGAAGGGACATGGACTGAGAAGAGGCAATGGAAGAGTGAGACAGAGGAGAGCTGGAGCTCCTATTGGTAATTTTTTCAATGTTAGGAGTGGCCTCAACAAAAAATGGTCTTAAAATTCTACTCCATATGTGTTGCTCAACACCTCACTCAGTCTTAAATTTCTACTCAATATGTGTTGCTTTCGTTGATGGGTCCCCCTGACACCCGGCATTTTGTGGCCTGGACAAGCAAAGTAGGCTGAAGCCCGCCTGCAGCAGTGGAAAAAGAATGTGCTGATCGGCTGTCCATTGCTTCTCTTTTTCTCTAACGATTTTCCTTCTCTCTGATGTTTTCTCTGTTGATCAATGTTCTGTCTGTCACACAGTAAAGATGAATTTACACAGTTTGCATCAAAACGCTACTGCAGGACACTGACAAGATCATGGAGCCCATTGGGGTGGAGGCAATTTGGTGGGGTGCAAACATGAAATTGAAACATGTTGCATGGCACAACAATCCACATGAGGCCTTTGTCTCGACCAGCTTCCGCAAAGAGCATGTCATTCAATGTGAAAATAAATGTTTACCAAGTAAAATTTACTTGGTAAACATTTATTTTCACACCCCATCAACCTCAGAAGTTTCATTCTTGCCAGGAAAATCATCTGCAAGACATGGATGTGAAAGCGGCCGAGATGGAGGACAGGCGAGCATGTCCCTGACTGCACAATATGGGGTTTCCTAAAATAGAGGTACCCAAAAATGGACGGTTTATAATGGTTTATACTCGATTTAAGGGTACTTTCATTTTAGGAAACCCCCTCAACAAATATTTATATAATATAAATATAGGAGGATG